AAGGGCAGCACTTCTTGTTCCTGTGTACTTTACTTTTTTTCCCCTTCTGGGCTAGATTTGGGTACCGAGTGAGCAGAGGATGTTTCTTGAAAGGATATCTGAGGAAACTCAGAATAATTTTCTTCACTTTTTTCACTTTTTTTTTTTAGTCTTAACTCTGTCTCTGAAAACTGTTTCATCTTTTTCCTTCCTGATGAGTGACTGTGATTTCAGAAGTGTTTGTTAAGCCACTGGCTAATAGAGCACACATAAGTGCTGGTGCCAGTGTGTTTTGCTCAGCTTGTACGGACAAGTTTGGTGATGAGTTGTACCCAACCTCTCTGAGAAGCAGGGTATATCCCTCCTGATGCATTTGTTACAAAACAGCATGATTGAGCTCTTCTGGAGAAATGGTAAAATTTTCCATCTGTGCTTAGAAGACCCCTTGGTAGCTCTCTGCAATGAAAATTCAACAGGCATCTCACTGCATTTCATTTAATACTCATTTCTTCTTGTCACACATGCGAGCAGTCCTGCTGGATGAGATCTGAGAGTGCTAGTAGAGGGGAGAGCTTAAATTGTTGCTAAATACTGACAGATCCTGTTATCTGAAGCTGCTTTATGAAGCGAGGATGCCTGCGGAGAGGGAGTTTGTGGTTAGACAAATTACATCAAAACAATATGGGTCGCATGTTAGGGGATGCAATCCGGCCAAATACAGAGGGGGGGGCCTGAAGGGTTTTTCTTCAAGCTAGAAAATTCAAATCAGTGTTAATAAACCAAAGGAGACAAGATGACATCCAAGACTCATTAAAGTCATTCACTAACCTGGTACTGCTGTGGCTGGGACTTCAGCTGTAGCTTGTGAAAAAACTGCAGCTGATGGAGACAGGTCCCTGTATGAGCTTCAGACAGACAAGAGCTGCTGCTGTGAACCCTTCTTCTGCAGGCTGAGGGTTGGTCTTGGAGCCCAAGTTTGGCATCAGATGTTGTTTTAGGTTGGAAATGCTCATCTGAAAGGATCAGAAATCAGAAGTTTGGAAGAAAACAAATTTTAAAAATCCACTGTTTTGTCAGTGCTGTTCCCTAAACCACACTGTGCAGTATCTCTTTTTCCAAGTGCTGTCATTGACTTTTGCTTGTGCTTCTTCTCGTAATGCTAGTAAGTAAAGCAATGGATTCAGGCTCTAAGCAGTCAGAGGAATCTTAGAAGAAGCTAACTGAAATAAATTCAAATAAATAAATCTTTTTGGACCTTCCCACTTTCCATTCTTGCTATTTGTTAGCATGCTTATTGCCAAGGGCTGCTTGGTCCTTCAGCTGATCTGAATCCTTTGAGTTACTTGAGGTAGTGCTTGCCATGGTGAGGACCTGGTGTGAGCATGTGGAGCATGGCCAGGGAGAAACCTGCTGGGTGGGAAGGGTATGAGATGAGGAAGAAGAGGAGAAAGAATGGACAGAGCAGAGTGTGGGGTGGAAAAGTCTAACCAGACCTCCAAGAGATGCTCTGATGTCTTGCAGGTCTCTGGCCTTGGTGTCTCTTTCACTGCCAGGGCTCACTGGTGGGAGCAAGGCTGTAGTATCCAGCTGAGCTGGCTCAGCCAGGCTGCATGTTAAGGTGCCTGACAAGGTGGCCAGCTGGGATGGCCACATCTCCTTCAGCTGTTGCCTTGTGGGCTTGCTGCTACATGGCTTCACCTTGGCCACCTGATGTTTTACTGTTGTTGTGGCTGCACTAAAGTCAACACTGGCTTTGGAAAGAGCCTGTCAGGCCCAGTTTGATTAAACTCCCTTTTGCCTCTTCCAGCCCCAAACCACCACCCCCTGAGGGTGTGAAGTCCAACCCTTCCAAGCGGCATAGAGACAGGCTCAACCAGGAGCTGAACAAGCTGACTGGCTTGCTGCCCTTCCCCGAAGATGTGTGCACCAGGCTCGATAAGCTCTCCATCCTCCGACTGGCTGTTGGGTACCTGAAGGTGAAGAGCTACATGATGGGTGAGTTGTCCATGTTGTGAGGGGTGAAAAAGCCCCTGGGGTCAATCCCTGCTGCCCAGCTCTCATCCCACCCTGAGCTGTGTTTGCCTTGGGATCGAGAGTTGTGTCTCCTGAGGATAGGATGATGATGAGTTGTGGTATCAGACCCTTGTATGTTGATGTATCAGCGTTGGATCTTTAGCTGAGGTACTGGCCTGAGGATGCGCTGGAAAAATGGGGAAGAAAGTGCCATGTCTCCAGAAATGTGGAGGATTTGGGTTGATGGGAGGTGCTATGCTCATGGGACATCTACCCCACCAGGCCTTCTTTTGCCGCAATGATGCGTCTGTGTCCCTTCTGGAAGGATTCATCTTCATTTTTGGATGCTGCACACCCAGATGTAATCCTTTTTGGTCAGTTATGGGTTGTTGGTGTCTTGGAAAAGCAACATCCTTGGGAAAGTGAAACCACCTAGTTGGGTCTTGGAAAGTGAGTCACAGGGATGGAGAGTGGGCCAGCGAGTGATTCAGGAGAGGCTGGGAGTGGTCAGGAGCAGCACAGGGAGCGGAGGACCCCTGCCCCATCACTTTTGGAGGGGGTATCTGGCAGAGAAATGGCATCATGAGTGGAGGGGAGGAGCTTGGGTGCATGCTCAGCAGCTGAGACCTCCTGCAAAGTTCCTCCATCTACTGCTAATTAGCAGCCATACCACCCCTCCTTTATGTCCAACAACCCTCCTGTGTCCTGCTTTTGCCAGCCCATGGTCAAGGGAGCTATAGGTAAAACAGCGTGAGTCTGTCATCTAACTGGAACTGCTGTTTAGAATTAAACTAAACTGAAAATCCCCTGTGGATTTTCCCTGTGTGAAAAGGACCTGTGGGCTGCTGTGGGTCTCCTGGGCAGGCAGGGGTAGGAGGTGTCACACAAGGCTGCTCTGTTCATTGAGGATGGCAGGTTAGACAAGGCTGCTCCTCAGGCCCTTGTTCGGTTTGGTGTCTCATTAGCTCATTTTTTCTCCTCTTTCTTCCTTGGGGGGGGTGTGTCTCATGGTGGTGACTTACTGCTGCGCTTGCCACCCTGGCCCTGCCGGGCTCAGCTGTGCTGCAGGTCTATTGTGCTTCTCTAATGAGTGTTTCTATGAGATTGAGGGTGATGCCTCATACCCAGAGACCCCACTTCATTTTTGCAGGATGGAGGGTTGAGCTAATGCGCCTGGAAAACTGATCTCTTCACATTTGCCTCTCCGCAGCCCTTCTGCTGCGGGGACCCTGGTACAGGGCAGCAACTGCAGTGCCAGAGACACTGGCTGGACATCGCTGCTGTCTTGCTTCTGCTCTTGGCACCAGGGGCTTTTTGGGTGTGTTTCTGCCCCCATGTGTCTGTGGGTCCCTTCTTCCTGCTCACAGGTCACAGCTGTGATGACCTCCTGGTTTTTCAGCAGCCATTGATGTAGCTGAGATAGTTGCTGCTGGTGACAATACTTGTGCTGGGGGCTCCGGGGTTACTCTGCAGCCCTTGGGTTTGAGGAGCAGGGATCCCTTGTACGTTGCACACATCACCTGATGTGCTGCCTTTATGAGCAGGAAAAATACTGCAAAGAGGAGGCTGGCTGAGCTTCTCTGGGTGCACAGACCTGCTGGCTGCCCTCTCACCCCAGCCGTAGCCTAGGGAAGTTTTGTGCTGGTGTGCTCATGCCAAACCCTGCTGAGGAGCCTCTCCCAGCCCAGGAGTTGTGGATGGTTCAGCTCCTACTCCTGAAGCTGTAGCTCACATGGGGCTGCAATGATGGGATCTTGCTGGCGGAGCTGGTTTCTTGGGTGGGAACCAGAGCAGCTCCCTCCTGCTCCTCCAGGTCCCATTCCTGGGGCAGTGTTGGAGCATCACAACAGTGTGTTGCCTCTGCAAAGAACTCGAAGGTGGCTGGGGGACCACCCAGTGTAGCTGTGAGCATGATGGACCCTTGTTTTTGCTCTGGAGATGGATGTTCTTGCTCTTACGCTGGCCTGACCTCTCTTGTGGTGTTAGGTGTTCCCTGAGCCCCTCCGGCTGCTGTAGGCTTTGAGCCTATGCCTGTACCGGCTGACTGGCTGGGTCAGAAGGGCTGTGACCCAAGAGGTCCTTCTTGGGAGCAGGACCCCAAAAGACATGATGAGGATGTAAAGAGGCACCTTGTTGTGGAGGGAAAATGTCTTGTGCTGGCTGCCTTTGCACAGGAGGGGTGATTGCTGCATGCACACCATTGGATGTGTTTTGGATGCTGTTGTGCTCCTCCAAGGCGAGGTTGGACTGAGAGCGAGCCTGGCTGAGTGTCTCTTCCTCCCTTGTCTGCTTTGTGCAGAACAAACCTGGGAAATAGCAGATTTGCTGCCTGCCCGTCTGTGAGATGCGGGGTGTGTAGCTGGGAAGGCAGCCTAAGGCAATGATGTTTTTGGGATGCGACAGGCCCTTCTGTCCGGGTGGTGCTGGTGTAACATTAACCTGTGTTGCCTTCTCTACTGACATTCAAAGCAAGGCAGCAGTCAGCCCTCCTTACTGACATGGCTGGACTCTGTGGCATCCAGCACACATCTGGGCTAAGAGGGAAAATGGGGATGCAGAGCCTGGCTGGGGGTAGTCACCACGCACCCGTGAGTCACCATGCTCCCCTGCCTGCTGGCAGGACACGGGCTGCAGTGCAAACGAAGCCTGAAACGCTGCCAGGGATTGCTTTACAAAAGCGGTTGCTTCAACACCAGGGAGCAGTGCTTGAGGGCTGGGGTGACTCTTGCAGCTGGGGGAGGCACGGGCTGGTGTGTGTGCGTGACATGGCACAGAGGAGGGTCGGGATGTATGGACAGGGACGTGTTTCATCTCCAGTGCCTTGGGCATGATGGCATGGGTGATGGACCCTGGTGAAGGCAGAGCATGTGGAGGGCAGGAAGCCATCAGCATCTTTCTATACTTAAAGGCTCCTATGAGGTCTTCTCCCCTCCAGACTGAATAAACTTGGCTCCCTTACCTTTTTGCCCTATGCCCAGTCCCTTGGGGCTCTCCCAGGGCCCCCTCCAGCTGGAAGTGCTGGTCCCCAGGAGGAGACCTCTGCACCAAGCTCTCCAGCTGGGACCCCTGCCTCTGAGCAGGAGTGGCTCCCACTGGATGTGCTCAGCATGTGCTTCCCAGTGGGAGAGCTGCTTTGGGAAAGCAATCATCATTGAACAGGTTCATGTTCGGTGGCAGCCTTGTCCCCTTCTTGGAAACCCGTTCTGCCAGGCCAATTACTCCCATTTGGCCACTGCGCCTGTGATTTCCATTTCCCTCCCCTTGCTTTGCCTGTGTCTGCCCTGAAGTTCATCTTGTTTGACTTCAGATCATCCCACTGATTCATCAAGGTCAACCCCAGTCCGAACCCTGCCTGATGAAGAGCCGTGTCATCTGTAAGTCACAGCAGCCTGCTTGTGGTGCATCACATCAGGTGTTTAGGGGCGAGACAGTGAAAGCCCTTGAGTTGTGCTTTCCAGTTCACTTTTGTTGTCGTCCAGGTAAGCGTGACATCACCTGGTGAGCATCCCTGTCCTCTGTTACCTTGGCCTCTTTTCTTTAACAACCAGAGTCTGTTGCCTTGTCTCCAGGCAGCTTTAATTGGTGCCATATTGATAAAGAGAGTTCCTCTTGTCAAGCATTTCTATCGAGCCTGGGCTCTTGCCCTTTCTCCTAGGCAAAAGGTCTACGTGGAGCCAAAGTACGCGGTTATAACCAGCCTGGCAGGGAGGTGACCCTGGACCTCTGCCTGCCTGGGCTGTGTCACAAGTTAAAAGTAAAAATCTCATGTACTGCTAGAGATGGTTCTTGCAAGAAATGCAGCATGTGCCAAAAAGCCCATCCAAGGTTCAGCCTCCTCTTGGAGTTGTGTCTTTGGGACAGGAGATAGACTGATTGTTTGTGCAAGGCAGGAGGAATTAGCTACTGACTGCTTTGGTGTCCTTCTGCTAGCTCTCCCTTCCTGCTTCAAGTCTCCCATGCAGCTCACCCTGTGGCATTGCTTCTGGGAGTAGAGGTGAACCAAACTGGGTTTGGCTTTTTGTTACTGTTGGTGGGTTTCTTGGCTTTTTTCTTCTTTTCAGTTCAGATGTTTGGGGAGAGATTGATAAGAGATGAGATGGACAATGTTTCTTCTGAACATCTGGTCCTCCCTGTCTGCATCAGCTGGTATTTCCTCCTGCTGCCCCTGATGTGGCTTTTGCCGGTTTGGAAACTCTCTCAGGAAGACTCTGCAGAGATGACAGGTCTTCAGCTGATTTCTTCTCGGGGGTGGTGGTGGTAGAAGGATCCACACACCTTCCTCTCCAGATGGAGAGGGTTAAACTGTCCTGCAGAGTGTGCAACACCCACTTGAGTTATCAGTGAAACTTCACTGGTATTTGGCCTAGGTCGAGCTGGCCAGGCTTTGTGTGCTGGTGTCCAGAAGCTCACTTTGGCTGTGCCAGGTTTGCATGTGGGCTGAGTTGTCTGACTGCAGCCCTTGGTAAGAGCTGTTGAGTTATCCCACTCTGACCTGCTGCCTGGCCACCTGAAGCAGGAAAACCATCACACAGGCTTCCCTGGACAGCTTCAGAGACCTGTGTATGTCCAGCATGGAGGTTTTCCTGACAACTTCCCAGGAACTTCATGTTTGCCTGGAGCCTCCCCTCTGATGCCAGTAGACAGGGCTGCAGTAACCACAGGCTTATAAAAATACACGTGGCACCTGTGATGCCAGCCCAGGTCAATATAAACCATCTGCCATGCAGGTGCCATGAACAAGCAGCAGCTGGTGGACAAGGATCTGGTTTAGAAATCTTTTATGAGACTGCCCGTAAGCAGGACAGAAATAGATCAACTTCTGTGGATGGACTGAAAGGTCAGCAAGGATGGTTAAGAGTTTTCTGACAAACCCTACAGCTTTTCTGATCTTTTGCTGGTTTTGGAGTTGAATACTCTTCATTGGGGGGAAAAAAACCAACCCTGTTTCCTGGTGTTTCCACCAGTTTGCATCTCAGACTGAG